ACAACAGCCACGATGATCACTGTTTTTAGAGCCTGAAGAATAGACGAAAATTTTCAGTGCCAACCATTAGTGGTTGTGGTTTAATAATAATAATGTTATTAATATATATATATATATATATATACATAATATTGATGTGGTTTAAAAATAATAATAATGTTATTAATATATATATATAATAATGATATTAATATTAACATTATTATTAATGTTAATATTATTATTATTATATTTAGTATTTATTTATTTATAATTATTTATTATAATAATAATAATAATAATTATTATTATTATTGTTATTATGATTATTATTATTATTATTATTATTATATATTAACATATTATTGTTAACAATTGTGAATGCATTTCATTCAATAAGCTAGATTATAGTCCTACCTTTTTTGGATTTCTGAGAGAATTTCCTGTGGACACGTTACTTTGATTGGACTCCTGTAAACGATTACTGTGTATTCTTTTAATAAGTGTTACAGCTGTAATGATGCAAGATAGGCCTACTACAACGATGACTACCGGAATTATAAATTGTGTTGTAGGTTGCCACTTGTCAAACTCGTCATTTACATCAGGATGTATAAAGTCTGGCTGCAGAAATATAACATATATTTGTTATTGGTTAACAACTAAATCAATTTTATAGACAAGATGCACACTATGTGGAATGACCAACATAGGTGCATGGTATTTACTATTTAGCGACATGTTCAGCGGCATTTTTACGGAGGGAAGAAGAGCACTTGGAGTGCACGCCAACCAAAACTCTTGATCCCAACAGGATCCGCCACTAGAAAAATTTGGCAAGTAACGTCCCTCACTTTAATCATCGAGCTTCCTACTTATTGCCCCAAAAACCAATATATAACTCCTATAGATACACCACTGAACACGTTTAAATCGAATGATGTAGGCCTACATAAAACCTATTCTACACAACAATGAAAGATTAACATGTTGAAAGTGTATGAATCATTATTGTCATGCGTGCTAGGCCTATTTTTGTTACTCGGCACTAAATTGGGAATTTACTCAACTTATTTATTCAACTTATTAACTACTATTTATAAAAACAATGGCAATTAATCAACGGGCTACTTACATGAAAATCTAGAAAAACATGAATTGAACACAAGATTGAAATCACCCAGATACCGGTTGTAACTAATAGTTTTTTTTTTTAAAGTGATGACAGTGCGAACTCTGAGTGGGTATTTCAAAACGTAACATCTTAAAATAGAAGAACAATAATCAAACTTGGATAGCAGTCTCATAATGTTGAAGGATAATAAACTTATAGACCTGTATAAAGTACAGGCAAAGATAGAAATACAAAGCTGGCGCCTAGGCCTATATACATTTTATACCAACAGAAAGATATCGTGGTCCATTATTAGGCGAGCAGGCTAAGACCAAATGGACAACTACAGAAATTATCGAATTGGAAATCGCAGCGGGCTACCACCAGCATTTTTTCTAAATTATTATTTTCTAAAAATGTAGGTCCTTGAATAGTTTACAACTACCAAAATTCCTCTTGAGGTAGGCTACCTCAAAATGACGCATTTAAAATGGCCGATAATCTTGAAATTATGGTTTTGGCTAAGAGTAAGATTAAAGTAATATTATTTAAACAATTATTTCAATTATACCTGAAATGTATTTCTAATATTCTTTGACTATAAACAATGATGATTGATTTTAAAAGAAATGGCAATTTTAATTACTAAAGGAACCTTTGTTTTGCATATTAAATATCTCTTTTTTTTGTATACAAACCTATATATAATATAATGATATTATAAAATTATAGTTTTTTGTATATATTTTTAAAATAATAATTTAAAAGTATATTTTAAGTCAAACCAGAACTACATTCAATGCAAAGTAATTTTTGTTAGCAACGAATCTAAATCATCAGAATTGTAGTTAATTTTGTAATTACAGATAATTAGAACCCCTCCGTTAAGAGTGACCCCTATGCAAGGGACAGTGTTTGGCTTCAAATCAAAGGAATATATGTATGTTAATACTACGACCAATCTATATACAGAGGACAATTTTGTTAGTCATATGTGAACGCTTAAGGAGTTCACTGTGCTAAAGAATGAAATTGTAGATGTAAAACTTCTCTTATTCAATACATAAAGACAAGCAATGATTTCCAATTACCAGTTAACAGTTGATGTTTATTGAATACAAAACACTTCTTTCTGTCACCAATATTACGGCGTAAAAATACCTACAGTGAATGCTCTTTTACTTTTTTTTTGGAACCAGCTTCCAAATTACATAACATCTTCCAACTCTATTTGCAACTTTAAGTTGCAGCTTAAGACCTATTTGTTTTCCGGTGGCCTTTCACATGCGTTGAGTCTTTGATCTTCTTTGGGGAACTGGTGCAATATAAATTCGAGATATAATAATAATAATAATAATAATAATAATAATAATAATAATAATAATATTAATTATTATTATTATTATTATTATTATTATTATTATTATTATTATTATTCTTTTTATTATCATCGTCATGATTATCATTACCAAAATATACTGCATTACCACAAGATAGTTTATAGCTGATCTATACTTAGGAAAATATCTCTTCGGTTATCCTGTCTTTTGTCTTTTATATACTTTACGAAATATTCAACTTTATTTTAATTTCCTCTTTCCACTTAAAATTGATGAAGAATTACTGTACCTTATTACGTTTCAGTGTGTATCTCTTCACACACAAACACACACACTCACACACCCCCACCCACACCCCCATACACACAAACACACAAAATGAATCTACTGTTTCGTGTGAGAGACCAAGGTGTAATACTTGTAAACATGTATACTCAACCAACAAACTTGAACGACCGTCTGGATAATGTTAAAATATATGATAATTTCACAAGTACTTCCACGAGTCGTATTTATGCAATAGTTTGCCAGAATAGAATAACAGAACATTTAAGATCAATTAAACTAGCACTAACTGGATGCCCAGTTGCATCCTAATATTTGCATCCTACTATTTTGTAGTTTATACTGGAGTCAAAATCTGTAACACCACTGATACATCTAGGAAATTTTTAGAAGAAAGAATAATTTTTAAATTTGGGACTATGGCACCTACAAATATTAATGTATTATTTAATTCATTTAAATTATTATTCAGCGGGTATATCATTGTACATGTATATCATATTCATGGATTTTTTTAATGACATTTAGGCCTATCTTTGCTATTGTTCTAATTTTACCATTGCATTGTTTAAATTTTGCTTTTGTTTCTATGAGTACCAGCTCATCATTGACCAAGGATGTATTTATGTTCATGCATTTTGTCTAAGTAATATTTCTCATTGGTCAGTTTATCATAAGCTTTAATAAATATTCTACTCTCACTGTATTATGTATCACTTGAGAAAGACCTGTGGTCGAAAACGTTCGTGAGCATCTATTTCAAATAAATTGGGGCAAATTAACAACCTAGTCTGTTTTTTTTATTGTATATATATATATATATATATATTTTATAAATATTCAATTGTAACCCTGAAGAGGGGAGCAGGCGCTCCCGAAAATTTGGTTTTTTAAATAAAATATATGCTTCAAAGTAGTCACCTTGTGAAGAATGTTATTTCTGTTCTGCTTACTTATTTTATATATATTGAAGCATACGTGGATTGGATATCTTTTGATCATCACCAACATGTATATATATATATATATAAATCATCAAAGGTACATATACAGTGTACATATATACAGTATATACATTGTATATATATATATATATACAATGTACAGTTTATATATATACAATATAGTATATACATACAATATAATACATATAATAATGTATATAATACAGTGTATATATATACAATATATACCTTCAATATCATATATTAGTTTCTGTGCAGCTATCCTTGCTGTTGTGCCTGTATTTTTTCTTACCGTACTCCTCACAACGCAAATACGCTTGATGAAAAAATACGAAAAAATTGATTCAAGTATACCGATAGTAATAATAATAATAGTCATGCAGAATAAAATTAATGATAATATTAATATTAATGTTGATGACAATGATGATTTTAGATAATGATAATATCAACAACAGCAACAGCAACAAGATTCATATGCGGTGCATTAAGTTTATCAGAGCAACACGGTTTAGAAAATGAAAAAAAAAAATCATTTAATGCGAATCGAAATTGTTCATTTAAGAATGAAATTGAAAAAAAAAAGTAGCAGAGGTATCTTGATCTGAAAATTGATAATATCTAAGAAAAAGTCTGATAGGCCGCTAGTTTAAATATGCGGCTTCTAGGTGTACCAACCCTTGGAGAGACATACAAATGCAAGAACATTATGAAAATAATAATAACAGCATCATCAATAACAACAATAACAATAATAATAAAATAAATGAATAATAATATTAATAATAACAATAACAATAACTATGATAATAATAATAATAATATAATAATAATAACAATAGTAATAATAGTAATAATAATAGTAAAAATATTAATAATAATAATAATATTAGTAATAATAGTAATAAAAACAATAATAATAATAACAATAATAATAATAATAATAATAATAATAATAGTAATAATATTATTATTAATATTATTGTTATTATTATTATATTATTAACAATAATAATAATAGTAATAATATTATTATTAATATTATTGTTATTATTATTATATTATTAACAATAATAGTAATAATAATAAAATAATAATAATAATAATAATAACAATAATAATAATAATAATTATAATAATAATAATAATAATAATAATAATAATAATAATAATAATAATAATATGTAAAAAAATGACAAATACCGGTACCGATTTTAACATATAACACCATTTTCAATTTAATAAGACATTAACTATCTTTCACTGCAAACAAAATACAGTAAAAACAAAACATATTAATAATAAGATTACTTTCCCTGCTGCAGCAAAGGTTGATGAATCGTCACAAAATGTTCATATAGGCTTCAATCCTTTTGTTTACTAAATTCAGCGTGAATGAATAACGTCATTTGATGTCCAATGTACTTGTTTATTTGTTAGTTTAACCATACACAGATTGAAGTTAAAATTGTCTGGAAAATTATTCTATTTATTTATTTATTGAACATATACAGGATAACACACAGGAGGAAGTAACAACCTGTTTTACATATGGTCCTGTTCTGTGGTGTAAATTACAGTATAAAAATCAACAACTGAAAATAAACTTAATTACAAATAGGGCCTATGAGAAGTTAAAATCACTAGGCAATGTAAAAAATGTATATAAGAACCTATTTGCAAAATTAAAATACTAACATTCTGTAGTAGAATATTAAAAAATGAGTCAAATAGTTTCAAGAAATGAAACCATATCATAAAATTGATAAAACAAAATGCTAGTATTTTAAAAGCAGTATATTAATTCACATTTTATTTATTATTATTTAAATTTCAAATATATAATCCATGTATTGTCTGGTAATGAAAGTTATGCGTGCTGTTTTTTTTGTTTTGTTTTTGTTTTTTTGTTTTTTTGTTTTTTTTAATTATTTATGTTGATATTTTTATTCAAGTATTTTTTAAACATCAGTTTTAATGCAAAATGTTATCATTTTCATTTAAGGCCATTTTTACTGGGTTATTCTTGTGCCATTTTTTCCGGGGCCTTTTTTCCTACAACAGATTAGCTGTTCCTCAATTTAAATACTCCCTCTATTTAGAGACGAATGATCATGGGGTTGGCGAAAGAGGAATAGGTCTACATCACTTGTCTAGATACCATGAAATGTTATATTAATAAATAACAGCATGCAGTAAATTTACATCCACTTTAAATCCATTTAATATAACATTTCGTAATTTCGCCCTAAATTTAAAAAAAAAAATCTCAATTCCACATTAAGTGCAAATAGAGGTGCCGTCTCCCGTAGAGTCACAGGATGGAGTCAGGAAATCGGCGGGAAGCCTCGCACACTCCTGCGGCAAGCATGCACTAATCTCGTAAAAAACATAAAACTTAAAAGACCAAACTGACATTTTCCGTCAATTAAAGACTAGGCCTATACCCTTAAAATATACACAGTAGTGTATTATTTTTTTATTTTTTTTGTTTTTTGTTTTTGTTTTATTTTATTTTTTTTTTTCAGTTTTGTTTAGAGACTACAGACATGAGAATAATATGCTCACAAAAGTGTTTTACAAGTGTATAACACTGCTCCCCCATACCGTTTGTGTTGTACGTTGAGGTTTCTATTTTGTAATTTAACAGATTAATCAAAATTTAGAGCTCATTCAATTCTTACCATATGAGCTTAAAATATTGGATGTTTATAAACTTTATAAATTATATTATATTTCTAAATATAATATGCTTTATGAAAAGATTATTTTCTAAAGATTAATTTATGATCTTGACAGAGCTTTATTCTAGTATGAATTTATCTATGGTTCCACATGTTTGATGCTCCGTGATTTACTCTTCTAACTGACCGTTAGCCGCTGTCAAACACAAACACAAACGGATAACACTAAAGGTTGTTATCTATTATATTATAAAGCATATCAAAAATGAATGAATGAACGAAAGAACGAATGTATAAATGAATGAATGCATGAATGAAGGAATGAACAAATGAATGAATCAATCAATGAAGCAATGAATGAATAAATATATGAATGAATGAATGAATCAATCAATCAATTAATCAACGAATTAACAAATGAACGAACGAACGAATGGATGAATGAATGAATGAACGTATGCATAAATGAATGTATAAAGGACGCAAATGACTGACTCAAAATTGCTCCTCTAGTATAACCCTTTTATTGCTTGTTCACAAACCCTGTTTGATCACTCGCATTTGTTTGTGTGGTAACTGTAAATAACAATAAAATTACATACTGTATCATCATGTCATTAATCATTTGCATAACTATCATAATAGAGCATAATTACATTCGTATGTGAATTACCATACAACATGAAAACATCATATAGTGCTGGATTATTATAATTGTACTATAACATTAACGATTGAACTTGTGAGATATGATAAGACTTACAAAGCTGTGAGCCTCGATAACTACTGTACTATAGTGTAGTGAATTCAGCATTATCTTCAGCTAGAGTATGAATAAATACATAAGACGTTCTAATATAAAGTCAAAGATAACAACATTCTAAGAATACATCAGGGATCATATTCATGTTAGCCAAATGAGGGCGACCCTCAACACATAATATTCAAGACGAACCCCGTTGCCATAGCAACGTCAATCCGAGGAACGTAGGGTCCCTGGAACATCTACATGCCGCGAACATGCGGTCTTACCATTATTTATCAGTAGAATCAAAATAATAAACTATTTATTCAACTATCAATCAATCTATGATCCCAAAACCACTTTACGTCAATTTCTATACTCCTGGGATCCATCATGAATATAAACTACAAGTTTTATGATACAATATTGTGATCATTATTTCAATAAAAGCAACTGGTTTCCATGATTCATTATATGTGAAATGATACAGCGTAGGCCCTATCTTGCTAGCACTCCATTGCCGAACTAGGGCAAAGTAAATATCTAATTTCTAAGGAAATACACTATGTTATATGGAACAAGGCTTATATATCTGTGATCACAATTATTAACTAATAGAACTGGCTTAGGTATGCATAAAAATAACTATTCAAATATGTGAATCTTACCATAAAACAACATGAACCGAACTTGCCAAGAATAGTATGCGTCTCTCTGCGCAGTGCCAGAGGAGCGCGTAAACTACAACGAAAACAGAAATTCCAAGAGAACTATGGAACGCGCAAGAAGCAGCAAGAACTGCGGACAGCATAGAATGAACAAATGAATGAATGAATGAATGAATGAATGAATGAATGAATGAATGAATGAATGAATTAATTTATTAATTAATTAACGAATTAACGAACGAACCAACGATCGATCGAACAAAAGAACGAATGTATGAGCAAACGAACGAACGAACACGAATAAATAAATAAATAAAACTATTGAATTGCTCATTAATTACAAAAATTGAAGCCCTGGGCTTCCTTTTTAGAGAACTTTGAATGGACCTATTTTCGAGGCTACTTTTGCAAAGTTTAGAGAGGGACGGGGGGCTTATTTTCAAAATGAAAATTGCAAATTTTGGGAATTATTACGGTACTATAAAACAATTATAGTGCCACTATAACATCAGTCAGCATCATGGAGTGTATTAACCGGCATTAAATCACCTAAATTACTGTATAAAAATAATGTGTTTTTAATTTATTTTGTTTCTTTGAATTTCATGTACAGTGTATGTACTGTACTGTACTATCTCGAAAAAAAAAAAAAAGCCCATACTATGTTGAAAAGAAGCGCATAGGCTTCTTTTCGAGGCTACTTTTGTAATCTAAAGGGAGGGCTTTGATTCGAGATGGGCTTCTTCTCGAGATTAAGCCCATTGGGCTTCTATTCGAGGTTTTACTGTATATTGCCAATACAAAATATTGTAAAGCTCCGTCCACATAATCAAATTTCTTTGACAAAATAAACGGTTGCATTACCATATATAGTCATAATGTGTCTTATATATGATCATGATCATGATGTGTTCTTCTCATCTAAAATGTGTTACTGCAGGTATTTACTCTTATCTCCATCTCATTACGTCATTTATGTATTGTGATACTTTTCGTTATTTATGTTATTCATTTTAAATTTTCTGCATATTTTTTTTTTTTTTCATTATCTTCCTCTGTAGGCCTACCCTTTCTTTTGATGTTATCTTTTGTTTAATTCTTTACTTCTCATTTTATCATTGATTTCTTTTATATCGTTTCTTTTCGTTTCCTTTCACCTTATTTTTATTTTTCCTTTTTACATTTATCAGAGCGAATCTTTCTATTCGTTATCTTTGAATTATTTTGTTATCTTCCTTTGTTTATTATTTTTCATCTTAACTCTTATTTTCTTTTCTTCTCAGTCTTTATATTTCTTTTTTCCCCTTTGATGCTATCTTTTGTTTTCCTTCTCGTTTATTTTTTATTTATCTTTCCATTTCCTTTGTTTTATGTTTTACATTTTCCTTTTTACATCTTATCAGAGCGCATCTTTCCTTTATTTTTATTTTTCTGTTTCTTTTTTCTTCATTGGCAGAAACAACAGTTTGTTGATCCTACCAATCTCAGCTCCACCATGGTTGAAAAAAAGGCTCCTCTGCCGAAAAATAGCACATGCATAGGCCTACTTTACTAAAACGAATGCCCCTCCTTTAAAAGAGTGATAACATTTTGATTGCGACAGGGGGGTAGTGCGAGAGGTCCATGACGAGGCGGCCGATGGCCCGACGAGGGGTCAGATTTCCCCGACGAAAGCAATGTGAGCTGGTCGAGCTTCCACTAAAACGGTTTCGGAAGTGATCCAGGAGGCGAAGCCCTCAAAAATCTTATCAAATTAGGGGTTTTAATAGCTTATTTTAGAATCTACTAATATGGGGCGAGGGGGCTGTGGCCCTTTATACACATCTAGATGTGTATAAGAGACAGGTCTTACTCAGATCAGAAATCCATTTAATCCAAAATTGTATTATACTCTTCCTTAAATTTACAAATTTTATTTATCATTATGTAACATAAATTAAACATAAAAAGTACAAATTTTGTTTAATTTGCTGATGTTAACGGCTAATATATCGACAAATAAACACGGTTTTTTAAATGCTTCAATTAATTCATTTTACACTTTTCTCAAGACATTGTATAGTAACTTAAATAATTTTTTACTCTTGCTCAACGCAAAGTTTTCAACTTACATTTCTGTAAAAAAATGTAAAAATATAGTAAAAATGTTTTATTAAATTTTGAGCATTGTATTTTTATGAAGCTGGGTGGTTGAGGTTCTCATGCTAACGCAATAGTGATTAGGTTTGCTTTTGAGTTCCTTTCCAACAACTCGGTGAGATTGTTTTCCGTCTTATTTTGACAATAAAAAATAAAAAGAATAAATAATAAAAAGAGAATTGATTATTTGACAACACTGGATCTTTATTGTATTATTATATAATCGCCAGTGGCCTATATATTGATGATGAATAAAACCCCAGTTAGGGTAACGAAGACAATAAATTGAAACGTAAAATTTGATGGTACATTATTATTACTTTATTATTACTATTCTATAAATGTTGGACGCCGTATCCGAGGTTACACATAAAATTACATTTCAAATATTCATTTAAATATAGCGATCTTTGTTTCAATAAACAATTAATTACATGCAATCATCTAAATTAGTTAATTCTAAAAAAAAATACACCTATTCACCTCGTACCGAATCAAGTATTTAATTTGTGTTTTATTTATTTATTTTTTTTTTGCATCGAATAATTTTAGAGAGTGAAAGTGAATGTGTTGACTTCATTCATTGGGTCGTTTGTCGTTCGTTTGAATTCGTTCGTTTGTCCATCTGTTCGTACTTTTGAATTGATTTATTGTATGCCTTCCTAAGGCTTCCTTCGTCCATCATTGATCTTCCTTCCATCAAGCCATCCATTTATCTATCCATCATACATGCCATCATGCATGCATCCATCCTGTCTCTTATACACATCTAGATGTGTATAAGAGACAGCTCTTAAGAAGAGTGATAACGTTTTGATTGCAATTAATTAGGGCCAGCTTGACCAGTAATACCTTTGTGTCACATAACAGCCTATACTGATTTCATCAGAGTCGTTTTCTTTTAAAAAGTCTATTCTTATTCTACAATCATCAACATAGTCATAATTATCGACATCACCACTATCATCATCATTGCCATCATTATCATCATCCCTACCACTACCATCATCATTATCGTTATCATCGTCATCATCGCCATTGTGGTTGTTGTTTTTCTTTTTCCGTATTGTTTTTTTATGCATTACAGTATAGGCCTGTTGCAGTTTTTTAATGTAAGACTTCGGTTCCAGCTCTAATCATCACCGCTACCATCATTATCATCACCATCATTATCATCATCCTCATTATTATCATAAAGGCACTTTAGATAAATAATAATGAATTGTTTTTGGTATCGCTCCAGGTGTCGTTTTACATATAAACATTACTCAATGGAGTTGAAAGACTACTAAGGAGACAAGTAGTTGTGTTTAAATTAATACGGTCAATGGAATAATACAATAGAACGCAACTGTCAGAAAGGCAATAATGTATGATATGAGTGCGAAATCAAGAGAAACATACAAATTTGAATATGCGCTATTCTACTTTATTAACACTTCTTCTAGTGCTAAGAGACAAACTTAGCATATTGAGCTATGAAAACATAAGTATAGAAATTAAGCGTATAAAGTCAAGCGATTTGCGAAGTATGGAAATATAATAGGGACCGAACCTATCGTTTTGACACTCACGAAAAATTATCAAGTGAATGAGTGTCTTTCGCAAATCTAGATACTTGTATAAAAATGATATTTCTACACAAGCCCGGAAATACCAATCACCTGATATCATTATACGTTCATCAAAAATAAAATGTTTGTTTCAGTCTAATCTTGCTAATTTTCAAGCCTTAACAACAAGGACTATAGTACGGCAACTTGTTGCCTAGATAAGAAAGCGGTACTACACCCTGCCAGCCATCGTACGTTTCCGGATTATATTTCGTTGAAACCAATGTTTTAACTATGAATCACTAACTACTATACTACTATAGTATTAACATCAAAATCGTTAATCTAGATTACCAACGTTCCTAAATGGTAGTCGTCGTATTTACAGTGTAAAATAATATAGTCTAAAATATATACATTTTGATCTACTGCGGCTACATATTATATTCTCTTAAATCATCAATAAATCAGAACTTAAATTATCTACCAATAAATATATGGGATAAACGCTTTGATGTAAAAATAATATTACCAATTTCAACATGTTTCAATAAACAATTCTTAATTACATGTAAATTAATTAATTCTAGGAAATTACACCTACTCATCAATATACGGGTGTGAAATTCGGAATTTTAAACGTAGAATACTGTTTTTGGTTTAGGAGTTATTAAATTAGAGGTCGAGAATGGTAGATGGAATAAGATTCCACTCCAGTGTCGTTTGTATTATCTCTGTAACTTAAATTCGATCGAATATGAATTCCATTTTACATTGATTTGTCCTTTCTTTTCTCAGATCAGAAATCGATTTAATCCTAAATTGTATTATACTCTTCCTTACATTGACAAATTTTATTTATCATTATGTAACATAAATTAAACACAAAAAGTACAAGTTTTGTTTAATTTGCTGATGTTAACGGCTAATATATCGACAAATAAACACGGTTTTTTAAATGCTTCAATTAATTCATTTTACAGTTTTCTCAAGACATTGTATAGTAACTTAAATAATATTTTACTCTTGCTCAACGCTAAGTTTTCAACTTACATTTCTGTAAAAAAAATGTAAAAATATAGTAAAAAAGATTTATTAAATTTTGAGCATTGTATTTTTATGAAGCTGGGTGGTTGAGGTTCTCATGCTAACGCAATAGTGATTAGGTTTGGTTTTGAGTTCCTTTCCAACAGCTCGGTGGATTGTTTACCGTCTTATTTTGACAATAAAAAATAAAAAGAATAAATAATAAAAAGAGAATTGATTATTTGACAACACTGGATCTTTATTGTATTATTATATAATCGCCAGTGGCCTATATATTGATGATGAATAAAACCCCAGTTAGGGTAACGAAGACAATAAATTGAAACGTAAAATTTGATGGTACATTATTATTACTTTATTATTACTATTCTATAAATGTTGGACGCCGTATCCGAGGTTACACATAAAATTACATTTCAAATATTCATTTAAATATAGCGATCTTTGTTTCAATAAACAATTAATTACATGCAAGCATCTAAATTAGTTAATTCTATGAAAAAAAAAATACACCTATTCACCTCGTATCGAATCAAGTATTTAATTTGTGTTTTATTTATTTTTTTTTTTTTGAATCGAATAATTTTAGAGAGTGAAACTGAATGTGTTGACTTCATTCATTGAGTCGTTTGTCGTTCGTTTGAATTCGTTCGTTTGTCCATCTGTCCGTACTTTTGAATTGATTTATTGTATGCCTTCCTAAGGCTTCCTTCGTCCATCATTGATCTTCCTTCCATCAAGCCATCCATTTATCTATCCATCATGCATGCCATCATGCATGCATCCATCTATCCATGTATCTCATCCCGTTATCTCATCCATACACACACCATCAGTTAATATTTTTTTTTAATGTATTTATTCAAATGAATGAATAACTAAACCTTTGTCAGCAAACATCTTCAACTCCTTAAATACACTTATATATTATAAAAATATGATGCTAAGACATTTGTGTATATATATAAATTACTGTATCACTCTGTCACAGGAGTAGGGACGCTGGCGTAGTGCATCCAAAACCTGGTCCGAATTTTGGTTTGGGTCCGATGTGAATGCAGCCTTATTTAATGAAGATTACTCTTGGCCTAGTTTATCATTGTTTCTAAACTCTGTTTTGCAACGGTCTACTTCTAGAGTTAAAATTTAAATTTTGCCTGTTTGTCGAATCTGTTTTACAGCAAAATGTTGATTTGATGGCCGATCGAAAACTACTGGACATGAGTGCATAAATAAATGGATTAACGCAGCTATTAGATACTCTAAGTAGATTAGCAAAATACAACCAGGTTTTCGCGGAAAAATGGTATCCATTGTTTATAATCCAAAAACGAAAAATTGCACTCGGTGACGTCATGCACAGAAAGACAACAGCCACGATGATCACCGTTTTTAGAGCCTGAAGAATAGACGAAAATTTTCAGTGCCAACCATTAGTGGTTGTGGTTTAATAATAATAATAATGTTA